CTCCTCACCCGCCTTTCGCCCCCACATCCCTTTTCACCCTGACTTCCCCCCCCCCCCCCCCCCCCCGCCGGGCACTGTCATGTGGGCCCTTTTCCATTGCCCTACCGTTGTGTAACATCTTGGTGTCCCTTCTGCCCGCAGTCTCTCCAGATGGCAGCCTTCCTGTTCACTGTGTGCCATGCAGTTCTTCTGGTCCAGGACTGGTTCACTGACCTCAACCTGTACAGGTACGATCAGCTCGGAGCTTGGGAGTGGGCACTGACTGCTGGGCGCTTCCAGCTTAGGGAGGGTAAGGTCAGGCCGGGCACAGAGGGAGAGCTTTCTTTGAACCTGACTCTCTCTCTCTGTCTCCTTCAGAACTTTGAAAGAAGGGAGGTCTCCAAACCCGGTTGGGGGACCTGGCCCATGTGACAGTGGTAACTTATGAAACGGGAGTAGGAGGAAGCTATTCATCCCCTGTAGCTTGCTTTTGCCTGCTGAGTGCGATCACAGCTGATGGTCTACTCTGGCTCTGCTTTCCCTCCCTTATCCCCCAGTACCCACAGTTCAGTCTGGGCTCAACCCAGGGACGGAGAGTCTGCAGCTGTCTGGGAGAGAAAGCTCTGAAGATTTGCCAGTCTCTGAGCAAGCGAAGATATGTCTCCTCATCTCAGTCCGATATGGCCGGCCCCTCATCCTGAGACTGTGCCCCCCCCCACCAACCCAGTCAAGTCAGTGTCTCTGCCATTGGGATTGGTGAGGGGACAGTCTCTCAGCACTGACTCTGAAAAGTCCTCGGCAATAATTCTACTCATTTTGGGTCACAGGTTTGTCCAATCTCCCCTCGTTGCTGGGACGGCACGGTGGCTCAGTGGTTAGCGCTGTTGCCTCACAGCGCCAGGGACCCGGGTTTGATTCCACCCTCAGGCAACTGTCTGTGTGTGGAATTTGCACATTCTCCCCCGTGTCTGCGTGGGTTCCCTCCGGGTGCTCCGGTTTCCTCCCACAGTCCAAAGACGTGCATGTTGGCTGGATTGGCCATGCTAAGTCGCCCCGTAGCGTTCAGGAATGTGTAGGTTAGGTGGATTAGGGTGTAGACTTGCTCACTGAGCTGGTGTGTTTAATTGCAGACGTTTCGTCACCCTGCTAGGTAACGTCGTCTGTGTGCCTCGGGTGAAGTGTTGGTGTTCAGTTCCACTGGTTATTTATATGCCTCAGTTTGCTGGGCTGGTCGGCATCACTTCTGGTTCTGTTTCTCAGTGGTTTGTCCGTTGGGTCCAGTTCAATATGTTTGTTGATGGGTTACAGGGATATAGGGTAGGGGTCTGGGTCGGATGCTCTTTGGAGGGTCGGTGTGGACTTGATGGGCCGAATGGCCAGCTTCCGCACTCTAGAGTTCTGTGATGGCTATGATTTCACTCATTCATTTGAGTGAAATAATGTACAGGCCCAATCCTGCAGAGTATTTTGTCACAGGATATAAGCCTTTAGTCGCTGTAGTGGTTAGTCCCAGGGAATCTGTGGCTCCCAGTCTAGGATAAGGATGTCCCTCCCTCCAGAAGAGTGAGCAGTACTCCGCAGAGGGAAACATCGTTACTCTCGGTCTACCAGCGGTACGGGTCAGTCTTCGTCCCACGTCAGCGGCCTGACCCGAATCCTGGGATTGCGAGTTCCATCAGAACTTGGCTGCGGACGCTGTTCCAGGGAATGTTGAGAGCTGATCCAGTGGGATGTTGGCTGCGCTTCATGGGTCCTTGGGAAAGTAGGCTTGCAACTCCTGGCTCGCTCAGCCCTTGTTGATTGAGCGCTGCCTGGGAAAACAGTTGGATTTCAGGTCAGCAGGTCTTGGGGAGAGAAAGTCACACAGAGAGAGAGAGTGGGAAGATGATGTGCTTTTGTAGAGAGACCAGCTTTTCACGGACGTGGGAATCTTTACACCCACCAGAGAGGGCAGATGGAGCCAATGTTTAATGGCTCCTCTGAAAGATGGTACCTCCGACAGTACGGCGCTCCCTCAGCGCCGACCCTCCGACAGCGCTGCGCTCCCTCAGCACTGACCCTCCGACAGCGCGGCGCTCCCTCAGCACTGACCCTCCGACAGCGCGGCGCTCCCTCAGCGCTGACCCTCCGACA